CAATAGCCCAGAATAGAGGTATGTTGCAAAGAGGATGGGGGTGGGGGAGGGAGGAAATTGTGCAATAGATGAATATTTATAAAAAAAAGTGAACTAGGGCAGAGGTAAGGGACGGAAGGAAAGAGGGGGGCAAAACGTGCAACAATGAATATATGAAAATCTAACTTTTCTGTAAACTTTCATGAAAAACACAATTAAATTTAAGAAATTATAAAAAGAAGAAAATCTCAATAAGATAAATAAAAATACAATACAAAGTGTGCAAAAAATGGAGTTAGAAAATCAAAAGGGAAAAAAAAACACTTAACATAACTCAAGCTGAAAGAAGAGAAAGAAAATTTAGCTTCAAGTTGCAGTACTGAAGTATTCGAACAGGAAAAGTCTTAAATGATGCAGGAAACATCAAAAGATAGAAGAAATACCAAGAGTTGCTAAACCAAAAATAATTACCAGACACAAAACCATGACAGGAAGTAACATATCATAAAGAATCAATCACAATGAAGGAAGAAGTTCAAGGTGTACTGAAGGCATGAACAAACAATAAAGCCTCAAGAATTGGAATAATATCAAATGACACGTTTCAATAAAAAACTTAACATTCTGAATATGCTCATAAGTCAATGGCAAGAAATCTGCCAATTATTGGAAGAGATTTCTATTTGTTCCCATCCCCAAGAAAGGTGATTATCTAACAGAAAGTGGAAAGTATAGAGCAATATCATTGAAATCATATTCAAGTAAAGTCTTGCTGAAAATTACTAAAAAATGGCTAGAACAGTCCATTGACAGGAAACTGTCAGAAATTCAACTGGATTAAGAAGAGCCAATGGCACAAGTGATACCATGGCTGATGTCAGGTGTACCTTGAGAGAAAACAGATGTGTATTTTTGTTTTATTGACTATGAGAAGGAATCTGATTGTGTAGACTACAACAAATGATGGCTAACCTTGAGAAAAGTGTGTGCCTAAGAACACTCACCTGTGCTTATGTGACACATACATGATCAAGAAGTTGTGCAAACAGAAGAGAATACTGCCTGTTTTAAAATAAGGAGATGATAGATAGATAGATAGATAGATAGATAGATAGATAGATAGATAGATAGATAGATAGATGTCAGGGCTGTATCCTTTCTCCACACTTATTCAATCTATATACTGAGAATCTTCATTGAAGAGATTGGAGGAAGACTCGTATGTGTTATGCAGAGACACAACCTTGCTTACTACAAGTGAAGAGGACTTGATCACTTGCTACAGAAGATCATAGACTACAGTCTTCAATATGGATTATATCTCAACGTCAGGAAAACAAGCATCTTCACCACCAGACCTACAGGTAACTCTGTAATAGACAGAGAAAAGACTGAAGTTCTCAACAATTTCATTTTACTTGAATTCATCCATAATCAATACTCAAGGCAACAATAGTCAAGAGACAGAGAGATATGTTGCAATTAGAAATGTATTGTCAAGGATCTCTCTAAACTGCTGAAAAGCAAAAGTATTCTTTTTTTTT